ACTTTCATGGTCACACACTGCCCTTCATCTCAGGCGTGGGAAGATTCCAAAGTCCCATGGCCACCTCGTGTGTAGATGAGGGCAAGAGAGAGCTCACCCCTCCAAACCAGGGGACAATATCCAAGGCTTCTTCAGGGTGCGGAGTTAATCAGTGGAGGGGATCAGAGTAGAGGTGAGGAGGTGAGGGGGCCTCAAACCCTGCCCTGTCCCCTTCCGCTCCTTGCCAAAGATCTCAGTCACAAAGCTTTTCAATCTTCACAGTATCAAACTTTAGATAAAGGGAAATGTAACCAAGTAAGCAGATTACTTATCTCTCTAAAGTACTGAAAAGCAATGATGTCAGTCTAGAAAATAAGGTGTGCCTAATCCAGTCCATGGTCTTCGCAATTACTTGCTTTGCATTAGAGAGCTGGACAACGACTAAGGATGACAGAAAAAGAATCAATGCCTTCAAGATGGGGTGCTGGACTAGAGTCTTGAACATAGCATGGACCACCAACAAAACAAATAGGTCTGTCTTGGAGAAGGTGAAACCAAGTTTCTCCTTGGAGGCTAGGATTTTGCAGCTCTCACATACTTTGGGCACATGGCCAGGAGGGATTGTTGTTGTTATGTGCCGTCGAGTGGCTTGCAACTCATAGCAACAGCTCTAACCTCTGCTCTGTCCTGTGCCACTCTCATTGTCTCTGACACACTCATCCCTATTGCCCCAGTCACTGAGTCAATCCACCTCCCAGAGGGCCTTCCCCTCCTGTGCCTGCCCTCCGCCTTCCCAAGTATGATGTCCTTCTCCAAGGACCAGTCCCTCCTTACAACATGACCAAATTATGTCAGACGAAGCCTCAGAATCCTTGCCTCCAGGGAGCAGCCCGGTTTACCCCTCTCCAGGATGAATCTGTTTGTTTTCTTAGCAGTCCATGGTACCCTCAACACTCTTCTCCAACACCAAAGCTCGAAAGCATCAATTCTCCTTCTATCCTCACTGGTCATTGTCCAGCTCTCTGACGCATAACAAGTGATTGCAAAGACCATAGCCTGTACCAGACGCACCTTAGTCTCCAGAGACATACTGTTGCTCTTAAGTACTTTAGAGAGGTCCCTAACCGCAGACTTTCCCATCGCAATACCTCTTTTAATTTCCTGGCTACTGGTGCCAAGAGTGTTTACTGTGGAGCCAAGCAAACTAGAGCTGTGAACAATCTCAATCTCGTCACCATCCATCCTGATGCTGCCAATTGGTCCAGTGGTGAGAATCTTTGTCTTCTTGACATTGAGCCTCAAACTATATTGAAGGCTGCAGTCCTTGACCCTCAGCAGCAAGCGCTTCAGGTCCTCCTCAGTTGCAGCAAGCAGGGTTGTGTCATCGGCATAACACAGATTGTTGCTAGATCTTCCACCAATCCTGATGTTGCATTTCTCCTCATAAAGCCCAGCCTCCTGGATGATCTGTTCTGCATACAGGTTGAAAAGGTATGGAGACAGGACACATCTCCGGCATACGCCTTTCCCAATTTTGAACCATGCAGTGTTTCCTTGCTCTGTTCTGATGACTGCCACTTGGTTCAAGCATAAGTTTCGCATTAGCACAATCAAGTGTTTTGGGATTCCCATTCTTCTCAGAGTCAGCCACAGTTTGTTATGGTCCACACAGTCAAACAGCTTTGCATAATCAATGAAGCACTGATAGACATTCCTCTGGTATTCCCTGCTTTCAGCCAAGATCCATCTAACATTAGCTATAACATCCCTAGTATCCATGACCTTGAAAGACAGAACTTTGTCAGAGTGTTGTTACTTGACTGACCAGGCAAGTATTTTACAGATTATTATCCTCCTTTCTTCTTCTTTCCCCCCACCCCACTTAGAGGGGAGGGCGTTGAAATGATGTTTCCAGTTCTTGCAACATTAGGAACTTTGTTTTCACTGCTGAATATAACTGGCTTTTAAAAAAAAAAAAAGAACTTTGTTTTCAAAACTTGGAAATGGTCAACTGCCTTCACACAGGCTTACAATCCAGAGCTTCTTTCTGATTATAAAATTAGCAAGAGCATGCACACCCATGTTTATTGAGGCTTTGTTGGCAATAGCAAAGAGCTGAAAACAACCCAAGTGCCCATCAACAAACGAATGGATAGAGAAGCTCTGATATATTCACACAATGGAATACTATGCAGCATTGAAAAACAAGGAACCTATGAAATATTATGCAAAATGGATGACCCTGCAGGACACTATGCTGAGTGAACTATCTCAGTCACAAAAGGACAAATATTGCAGAGGGCCGCTGTTGTAAAACAGGACTGACATCGGGATTGAGGGAAGACAGAGAAGGAAGGGAGGAATGATATATACTGCACTGCAACAGATGAGGGAGAGAACTGTTTAAAAGGGATATGTAATTAGGTATTATTGTCATGACAGGAGTCATGGAGAATGAAGGCTGCACAGTGGAGTGGACTTGGGGGGAGGGACCGCATAACAATGAAAGAGTTTTTCTTTTACTTTTCAAGGAGAAGAGTGACTGGGGGGCAAAGAGAAAATTGCAACAATGAAGGATTGGAAACCCTAAGTCTCTGTAAACTTTCATTAAAATTAATTAAAAAATTAGTACATGCTTCTCAAAAATATTTTAGGAAAGTTGTTTTTGTTATGTGCCATCAAGTCAACTACAACTACTAATGACCCTATGAATCATGGATAAGAACCAGTACCATCCTCACCCTCTCTGATATACTCAACTTTACTGTCACAGTCACTGTCAATCTGTCTCATTGAGGGTCTTCCTTTCTTTTGTTGATCCACCACTTTGATGTCATTTTCCAAGAGCTAGTCCTTCCTAACAATGTGTTCAAAGTATGTGTGAGGCAAAGCGTCATCATTCTTGCCTCCAAAGAGGCCCCTGGTTGTACTTTCTCCAAAATGTATCTGCTTGTTCTTCTGGCAGTCCATGGGATATTCGATACTCTTCTCTTCCACCACCACAACTCAAAGCCTTCGATTCATGCAATCCCACTGTCCAGGAAAAGAATGTTAGCCTTTTTGGAAACATCCAAATTTGGGGTTTTTGCTTCTGTTTTGCATTTACATCATTTTTAACAAAACTGGAATCCTGCAATCTGTGTCCTGTGCATTCTCCCAAGTCATCGCGTATTCTTCAAAAGCATCATGTTAATGATAGTATAGCACTCCATCAAGAAGACGTGGCATGATTACCAGGCATTTGAGTCCTTTTTCTATCACAGACAACACTGTCATAAACACCATGGACCTAACGCATAAGTACTTGTCTGCATCTCCATTTCATTAGAATCAGTCCCTTACAGTAGAATTAAAAGGTCAATGAATGATATTTTAAAGGGTCTTACGATGGAGTGCCTTATTCATCTCCTGAAAGGCCATTGATTTTCCTAAATCTAACAAGAGCTGCAGTTGTGAAAATAATTGGAATTAGAACACAAGACAGTGGCCCTGTCTCTCCTCTCCCCAGTCTTTGAAGGATAACTGTCCAGTGACAGAATGGCCCAAATTCTAAATCAGAAGAAATGAGTCTATTCCCTAATTTCCCTTCTTTGTGTCCTTGAGACCTGAAACAGACCTGGGTTTTCCTCAACTGTATAATGTCTCTGATTAGCTGCTGTCCTCTGTTGACTCTCTCCAAAAACTCACTGACGTGGAGTCGGAACTGACTGAGAGTCATCAACCCTCCAGCAAGTTTCTGAGGCTGTAAAGCACACAGGAAACTGCACGTCTGTCTCCCTCAAAGCAACCAGTGGAGTCAAATTGCCAGGTGAGGCCTTTGGGTTAACAGCACAACTCCCTAGGGACTACGCTACCCGAACTCACTGTTGACTGCGGTTGTTGTTATTGTGTACTTTTAAGTTGGACCAACTCATAGTTGACCCTCCAGTGAGTTTTCAGAGGCAGTAAATCACATAAGGGGGAGATTGCACCTCTTTCTCTGGTGGAGCAACTGGTGGATTCAAACCACACACCTTTGGGTTGGCAGCACGATTCCTTACCAGTAAGCCAGCCTGTTGGCTAGAGCAGTGTAAATAAACACATGAAATGGTCTTTTGTTCTAAACTTGAATGATTTATGCCAAAGGATGCGTCTCTTTTCCCTTTTTCTAACCCAAGTTGTTCTTCGTGAAAACTCAAAGGATTCCCTCCTTGGGCCTTAATGAGATGCTCTTAACTGCCAGAATGTCTGAGACAAGTGCCTGTGGTTCTGGCAATGAGAGATATGCGGTTTCCTGAGAGCAATTAGGTGTGAGGGCCTGAGAGACCCAGTTGTATTTGTGAAAGGTCGGAGCACGCAGTGGAAGCCTCAAGGCTGTGAGCCTGAGCCTTGGGCCTCCATCAAGGTGCTGAATGAAGCAAACTGATGGGGTAAAGATCTTGGTAAAAATATTTCAAGAGACTTAGCCTCTCCTTTTAGGGTTCCAACTGGACATCTGGCCTTTGAAGAAGCAAGCAGATTTGGGGAGGGGATACAGAAAGTCAACAACTGCAATGGACCCCCAGGGCCCATCCTCTGGTCTCTTTTTCCAGACCGCTGTCAGTCATTTCTGGAGTTTTTAAGACCCTCCAATCTCAAATGCAACTAGTGGTTGTTCCATTCTGACCTGCCCACCTATCGACCTCACCATGGTAAGGGCAGCTGGCTGGCGAAGAAGCCTGCCACACGCCCCTCTCCACGCAGTAGATGCCCTTCTGTCCCCATCTCAAATTATGGCTAATGGGGACATCAGTGATGTTCCCTATGCTGGCCAGGAGAACTGTGCAGACCCCACGGAATGCCGTCCCCGCTTCTCCACTACCATCACCACCTGCGTGCCCCCACCCTCAGTCCCCTGCTGTGTCCAGTTGTGCATCTCCTGTCTCCAATTATGCACAACAGGTGTCACCTGCTCATCCTCGCCTCCCACGCCTCTCCACCGGCAACCCCGCCACCTGTGCCCCAGGCGTCCAGCTGCGCCCCGACCTCGGGCGGCGCCTCACCTTTGAGGTTCTGGGGGTGGCTCCGTGGCGCCCGGCTCGGGTTTCCTCGGGGCAGAGAGGGGATGCTGGAGAAGTTGTTGCCCATGGCACCCGGCTCCAGGTGGGGTTGGGCTCTGGCCGAGGCTGGCGAGGCTGGCCGGACGCAGAGGTGTGGGGTGGTGGTAGTGGCGGTGGTGGAAGCGGGAGCGCGGCGGGAGCGGTGCGCGCCGCAGGGGAGGCCCAGCTGGGGCCGCGCTCCTCTCCGCCCTCCCTCCCGACTGGCGCTCCTGGTCCTTGGCGGGTCCTGCCCGCGCGCTGCTCTCGCTCCAGTCGGCTACCTGGCTCCCATTCCTCGAGGTGCGGGCGGGGGGCGTGGGTGGACCCTGGGGCGGGGGCCGGCAGCGCCCCCGGCTCCCCTCTTCCTCCCGCTGGCGCACGGGTTCCAGCTGGTGGTGGGCGGCGCGGTGACTTCGGCGCGCTCCCCCGGGGCCATAGAGTCAGGGCCCCCGGCGCGGACGCTCAGCGGCTCGGCCTGCCCAGGGCCGGCGGCCTGGCTGCAGGCTCCCTCCCCGCCCGCGGGGACGGCCGCTGCGGCGACGTGCGTGGCCCCTTCCCGCCAGCGGGTCTACATGGAGCGGGGCTCCGTGGGGCGCGGGTTGTGCTGGGCGCTCCCACGGCCCCCTCAGGCTGCCTCCCGCCCCCGCCTCGCCCCTAAGCCGTTGCCTGGGTTCCCTCGCTCTGGTTGTTATGGTGACAGCTGCGCTGGTGAATGAACGCCTTAGTGACACGCGCGCTCCTGCTTGTCCAGATGTGGCCCCAGGGCGCTCTGCGTTCCTGGCCTCCCCCGCTGAGCCTTAGGGCTCTAAGGGGTGTGGTTGTGAAATATGCTCAGAGTGGGGCTTCAGGGTCTGGATTTTTCTCTCTCTCATAGAATTGTCAAACTTGTTATTGAAGCAACTGCGAGAGTGTTGAGCTCCTTGGAGGCCTGGGACCCAGCTAGATGACTTAGTCTACAATTATTTCCCTAGCACCTGGCACAGAATCTGGCACATAGTAGAGCCCAACAAGCTTTTTTTTTTTTCATTAATGAGTAAATGAATGCTTGACTAAGTGAATTTAGATTAGGAAGCCAAATACTTAGTCCAAAACTGACCCTCACTCAGATCTGAAAGATCAGGGACTCAGAACAACCCTGGGCTGTCCAATCACTGGACACATAGCAGTAGAGACTCTTGGATGCATACAGACCTAAAGACAGTGTCCTGGACAAACTGAGGGGGACAGAGCATAGTTAGAACTCTCAGGGACCTCCCAGCTCTCAAATGAGTGGTTCCGCCAGCTAGGAGAGGTCAGGAAAAAAAGGCCTCTGTGGCCAGTAGCAACCAAAGACAGCTTCCTGAAGGAAGAGAACTTCCACAAATCCCCTGTTGCGCATGCTTTTTCTATCAATGTAATCAGCTTAGAAATGAGCTCAACACGGCTACCAGCAAGAGAAAAGGAAGCCATTCTCCTCCTCTGAGGATCTGACTCATCTCCTTCTCCCAGGCTACCAAGAGTAGAAGGCGCACCAGGAATTAACTTTCTGGTTTTTCTAGCTCCTCAGTGAGGCTAAAGCAGCCCAGACCTCGAGTCCGAGTCGGGGCTGACAGTGGTCATCTTGGCCATCATCTTATGGAGCTATTGTTCTTGGAGTTGCTATAAGTGATAGTTGACTTGATAGCACATAACAAAACAGCACATAACAACAACACCACCACCTGTGGATATAATCCCATTTGAAATAGACTGCCTTCCTTCTGTTAAGAGCATGAGTGTAGGATGTTTCTTGAAATAACTTCTTTTGCAATCTTAAAGAAGTAAGCTAGAGAGAAAAGCAGAGACAGAGAATGAAAGCTATTAGGCCATGTGAAGATTGTCCGGAAGCAGAAGATCAGAAGAGACAAAGACACTCTGCCCAAACTGAGAGAGAGAAAAGCCTTCCCTGATACCCTGAATGATGTAATTAGGCCATTCTACATCGAAGGGTCTCTGTAAAGTGCTAAAGAGCACAGCTGACACTTTACAGACTATGTGAACCTGAGGCAAGCCATGGTACCTTCCAGTGTTTAATATGTGTGTCAAAGTTGGACAATGAGTTAAGAAGGCCTTTGAAAAAGGCTGATGCCTTTGAATTGTGGTGTTGGCAAAGAATGCTACATTTGCCATGGACAGCCAAAGGAACAAAAAGTCTGTCTTAGAAGTGCAGCCCAGGGCCCTCCTGAGAAGCAAGGACAGTGAGACTCTGTCTCACATACTTTGAATATAAACAGGAGGAGGCAGGCCCTGGAGAAGGAGATCATGCTTGGAAGAGAAGAGGGTCAACAAGAAAGAGGCAGATTCTCAACTAGGTGGGCTGACACAGCGACTGCAGCAATGGATTTAAGCACAGCAGAGGATGACAAAGATGGTGCAGTATTGGCCGAGTTCAGTTCTATTAGAAACAGGCTTTTATGGGTCTGGGCCCCTCTGTAGCATCTAACAACAACAAACTGTGGAAGAGTACATTTTTGTTTGTTAAAGCTATCCACGTGTGGCATTTTTGGTATATCAGCACTACATGGTTAAGGATTTGTTTCTGGAAGAGTAGGATGCTGCTCTGAGAGAGACCTGGAATGTGGAAGTAGCCCTGGAAATGGGTATTTCCAAATTCTGGTAGAAATTTCGAATTCTGGTAGAAGTGAAAGAGGTGGGGTTTTTAAAAAATTTTTTTATTTTATTATTTTTGTGTGTTTGTGTTTACATCAAATTGGATCTGTTGGTATAGGAGGAGATTGCCCTTCCTTCTCCAGCAGAGCATCTGGTGGATTCAAACCGTCTATCTCTGGGATTGCAGTGCAGCTTCTTGTCACTAGACCACCAGAGTTCCCTAGAAGTAGAAGAGGACTTATCAACAATCTGCATTATGCAGATGACACAACCCTGCTTGCTGAAACTGAGGAGGACATGAAGTGCTTGCTGCAGAGGGTCAAGGATTGCAATCTTCAATATGAATTGAAGCTCAAGATCAAGAAAACAAAGATTCTCACCACTGGGCCTATTGGCAGCATCATGATAGATGGTGAAAGGATTGAGATTGTTGACAGCTTTCGTTTGCTTGGCTCTACAATCAACACTCTTGGTACCAATAGTCAGGAAATTAAAAGACAAATTACATTGGGAAAGTCTGCTGTCAGAGACCTCTCCAAGGTACTGAGGAGCAATGATGTAAGTCTAGAGACTAAGGTGTCCCTTATACAGGCTATGGTCTTTGCCATTACTGCTATGCTTCAGAGAGCTGGAAAATGACTAGGGATGATAGAAGGAGAGTTGATGCCTTGAGCTGTGGTGCTGGAGAAGAGTATTGAATAGACCATGGAGTGCTAGGAGAACAAATGAGTTCGTCCTGGAGAGGGTGAAGCCAGGCTGCTCCTTGGAGCCAAGGATTCCGAAGCTTCGTCTGACATACTTTGGACATGTTGCAAGGAGGGACCTGTTCTTAGAGAGGGACGTCATGCTTGGGAGGGTGGAGGAAGACCCTCAATGAGATGAGATGGATTGATTCCGTCACTGGGGTAATGGGGATAGGCGTGTCAGAGACAATGAGATATTGGCAAGGGGGATAAAGCAGGGTTTAGGGCTGTTGTACATAGGGTCGCTATGAGTTGCAAGTGACTCAACGGCACATAACAATAACAATAAGAATAAAATAGAGATGGTAAGGTTGGCACAAGATAGAACAGGTTTTAGGGCTATTGTACATAAGGTTGCTATGAGTCACAAGCAACTCGACGTCACATAACAACAATAACAAAATAAAAGCCTAGATTTATCTAGAAGAGATTGTTAATAAAATTATGGCTAGGAAAGGCCATTCTGGTGAGGATTCAGAAGGAAGTGAGATCTACCCTGAAAAAGTCCCTTGTCGTAGATAATAAGCATGTTGCTAGATAAGTAGACGTTAAATGTACTTCTGGTGAGGCTTTAAAGGAAAATGATGAGCATGTATTTGGACCATGGAGGAAAGGTGGTATTTTTTTATGAAGTGGCAAAGAACGTGTCTGACTTATGTTTGGTAGATGGTAGAATTTATAAATGATGAACTTAGATAGCTGAGTAAGATTCCTCAGCAAAATCTTAAAGGGGCTGTGTGATTTCCTCCTTGCCTTTTCTACTACAAAATGGGAGAGGAAAGAAATTAACTTTAAAATAAACTGTGCAAAATGAAAACAGAACTTAAGGATTTGGAAAATTCTGTTGTGCAAACTAAAGTCATGTGTTCTCTAATGTTGACTAAGGCCATGGCTATACCATCTGTTATTAGAGAAAGTATGTCTGAGATTGATGGCTGTAACTACTAGCAGAGCAGAAAATCACCTTAGACTGAAGGGGACAGAGAACAAAAGGACAGAATGCTACCTTCCTCTTGGAATTCTACAGGCAAGAAAGAGTCCAAAGGAATTTTATCTCTTTTTCTCCAAGTAAAGAACCCTTCCTGGAACAAGTAAGAGGTCAGCAGAACTGCTGAAAGGAAAACAGGAAGTAGATCTTTCTGGATCTCAAAGGGTGGGGCCATGATCCCCTGGATCTCAAAGCCCCGGACCACAGCATCCTCGATATCAGAAGTCAAATCATCCTCCAACTCCCAGCAGCCCTTAATGGAAATCCCACAGTTCAGAACTAAGTTGGAGGAAGATTTGACAAGGGGGGCACGGGGGGGGGGGAGGGCAGAAAGGACCTGTCGGGGCTAAGGATACGAAGTCACCATTCAGATGGACTGGGAAAATGGTGTTACTTAAGGGATCAGAGTTGCCATCCACTGGGCCTGGGAAACAGTTGAAGTCCATGTCTGAGGGACTTCCATCAGAATCCAGAGTATGTGGCCAACACCCAGAGCCTAGAGGGTAGGGTCATTGCCCAGTTGCTCTCAAAGAACAGAGGGTTATTTTCAGGCTTTGAAGGCTAATGTCATTTGTTCTGCCGAATCTGGGACTTTTTTGGTGCTCCCAAATTTCTCTCATTTGTAATAGAAATATCTGTCTCTTCTTCCGCTGGGCTTTGGACACATGGAACTTGTACTTGAGACTTCACAGATTTACAGATGAAGAGGCATTTTGACCCAGAAGAAAATATACCTAAAGTTCTCACCCTATTTCAG